AAAAAAGAAAAATTGCTGTAAACTGAAAACAGCAATTTAACAAAGTCACAATAAAATATAAAATGTATTCAATAAATATCTCTTCTCCAATAAATACAGTGCTTAATATAAATAATTAAATATTCTCAGAATAATTATTTAACTTGGAGATCCAGTAAACTACTGTGACTTGCACACTCTTGCGAAGAGCAGAGATCACCTGATGGACCTGAGCGGTTCCTTCCTAAAAGACGCTAGTCGGCTTCCGTCTCGCTGAGATTACTGCTCTGCGCTTTTCGCACCTGCCTTTTAGTCAGCTCCCTCTTCCACTCGACAAGGAAATCGCGGATCGAGCTAAGGACGCTGTGCGCCATCATCTTCCTGTGGTACGAATCGAGGCTTTCGAGGTCCTTGAGCAGCTGCAGCTCCTGGCTGCCGGTCAGAGCCACGACACGGTCAGCGTTTCTCATCTGCGGGGACAGAAACGCCAAGATGTTTATAGAGGTGTCTGCGAGCGCAGGGGCCAAATACAGAAGAAAACATGACTCTGTCCTTCCACTTTCCATTAACACGTGTGGCTGTTACGTTTTATGAGCAATAAGCCTATTCTGTACAGGAGGAGGTTTACTTTTTTGCTCTCACTAACACCATAATTTGCTGGGATGCAGCTGTGCTCCTAGCAGCACCTGACAAAAACAGAAGCATAGTCGGACACATTTCAAGTCAAAATATTTTTTGGACGCGTTAAACATTTGCTTTAAACCAGCAAAACAAAATGTAAAATTTCACATTTAGACCTTTACTGTTTTTTTTTTTTCTAGCGCTGCATATTGCCTTACAAACAGCTGCTTTGCAGCTTATAAAAGAAGATACTAAGAACTTGTTCATCTAAACCACCCGGTGTAATATGATTTACCATGTAGGTGCTGATTTTCATCATTTTCTTTCCACTTATTGCAACTCCACATGACCACCTTACAGGTATTTCATGTGTAAGCCTTTATTTATCGTGATTTATTCGTGGCAACTCTGTTGCTTTATCTCAAGGCCTCAATTGAATTGACTGAGATGGACAGCCGAGGACTCACCGTTCGCTTGATCTTTGTGATCAGCCGAGGAAGGGTCGCTTTCAGTTCGGTCACGATGAGTTTGCCGGGGTACTCCTTGTCGACGTGTTTCAGGAGAACCAAGTACTTGGTCAGATCCTGAGCCAGCTGCTGGAGGCCGGCCTCCTAGAAAGTCACGGGAAGCGCCGTTAGATCTCCGCTTCACGAGAAGCATCAGAGTGAAAAGAGAAGGAGATCTGGCTCACCTTGGACTTTGGGAATTTAACCGGGATCAAGGTCCTGTTCAACGAGTTGTAATCAACATTTCCACGGAATTCATTCTTAAACTGACAAAAGCAGACGACGGCACACAATGATCATTAAAAAAGAAGGATTTAGATGTTTTAAAATGAGCTAAATAAATGCAAATCACTTAAGGAAGCGAGGTCTCACCTCTTCTTTGTGGCCCTTGGTGACTTTAAGGATCTGCGCCAAAGTCTCGGTGATGTTAGAAGGATCGGTCAGGCTCGGCTTCGTCTGGACCACCTCCTCTCCGTCACCTGAGCTCTCCTCCGGAGGCAGATCGGTGACGGCTCCTTCCAGAGGAGCTCCCGGGACGCAGAGCGGCAGGGCTGCTGCCAGCATCAGGGCGGCGAGCAGACGGAGATCTGAGGGCCAGACAGTTAAACCATGAATGAATGAATGAATGAAAAGAGGAAACGAGCACACAGGAAGCTGCTCGCAGCAGCAGCTCCGGCTGCAAGTGACTTACTAAATTTAGAGTGCATGACGCGCTGCTGGGAAGCTCTGAGAGGGTTTCCTCGTTGCTGTCGGACCCCGAGTGAGATGTCCCGTCCTGGAGACGGGCCCTCGTTTTATATCCTGCAGAGGCGAGGGATTTTCCAACAGGACTGCCTCCGTAAGACAAGTTTGCATGATTGCGACTATTATAATGAGATGTTTTAATGAGGCTTGTCGTCAAAATGAGTGTGAGGTGGAAACCCAGAAACTACGCTATGTATTTTTACTATCGCAGTTTATTATTATTATTATTATTATTATTATTATTGTTGCTTGCCCCATTAAGAAGAAACTACACAATAATAAATATGTTATTAAGAATAATCATAATAATTATTCATCTAATTGTTGGAAAACCCTGGGTCAGACTTTAGAAAGAGCTTATAGAGCTAAATAATTTCTTTAATTTTTTTTTTTTTTTTTTATGAATTTGTGTTTTGCAAACATATTGCTTCATATCAGAGTCATAGGCTGTATCAGGTGAGTTGTAAGCATATTTTGGTATTTTTATGACTATAAACGATCCTGAAATATTTAAAAATTATAAACTTATTGTAACGTCTATGTTTTTATTTTTTGGAACAAACTTGAGCTTTGGGATATGTTGCAGTGCGACTGCGTGTAGTCAGGTATAGAGTTTCACCAATGTTACTATCAGTTAGTTTATTTCACGTACCATAAGATTTCCATTACTTGTATTTAATTATTTTCATTCACAGTTTATTTTAATTGTAAAGAATCTTGTTAGAATCATTATTTTTTCACTGCACTTTAAGAAGAAACCTTCACTTTTTTTCCCCCCCTTTGTAACATAAACATGATGCAGAATTAAAGATTAAATAAATGTTCCCAGAATAAGGCCTGTGAGGTAAATTATATTCCAGAGCTCAATAAAGTGCTGTTTCATCTCAAAATTAGTGAATTAATTTTATGTAGATTGCAGCAAGTTCCAAACGGTTCTGCATATTAGTAAGCCCACAGATTTAAAAAAAGAGAAACATTTTGGACTCATCAAAATTAACATAATGAATTTAAACACATCTGAGGTTTTGATGTCAAGCAACTCGAATGACGCAATCTAGATCTTATTTGTTGCTGTCAGAAACTAAGATCTACATTTTAAATTCTGTGCAATAAAAGGACTTTTATAAGTTTCTATAGAGTTTATTTTGAAAACTTCCTTCCCACATAAGGATGTTAGAAAAAGTTAACTTTTAATTATTGTAGAAGATGAACAAGTTCTCAACACAAATTTATTTAAGTAGTCTAACAAAGGATTTCTGAATACAGCTGGTAGTTTAAAAAAAAAACAAAAAACGTCAATATTAATCTAGTATGCAGCAACTCTTAAAAAGTTGATTAATTATGTTTCCTTTAAAAACAATAATATGACCAATAATAAACACAAAAACCTCAACATTTTTAATCAAACTTTATGTGATTGCGCAACACAAAGTACTGTGTAATTATGGAAATGTAAAGAAACTGTAACTGTTTCTGTATTTGCATTTTTTAACAAAAAAAAAAATCCAAAAAACATATCATGAACATATATTGAGTTCTCTGGGTCAACACCCAGTACTTTCAGCTGCAGCTCTTCTTTGGTGAGTTTCTTGAGTTTCTTCCAGTTTTGCACATTTAAACCCAGCATCACTTTGGCTTCTGAGGGAAACATCCCATGTTGCTTTCACCACAGTGTCTCCAGTGGGGATGTATACTGTATATAGTAGCTTTGCATTTTGAACAGGGAAGTATTCTGGTATTTTTCGCTGTGATGTTTGAGACTAAGTAAGTGAGAATAAGTTGGTGGTTATGGGGCAGCGGGGGCAGTTACTGGGAAGTGCCCGATCTTCAACATTCTCGTCCTCAAACCACCATCAAGTTTGTTAGGGCTGACTGAATTTTGGCAAAAAAAAAAAAAGAAAAATCCCATTCATAATGCATTCATAATGTTTCTGCTTATTTTATTCCTTTTTTCTGGAAATAAAGTGTGGTGAAACAGAAGCAGCTGTTTCATTTTGAATCCTGCGTTTGGGTTTCAGCGATCAAACCGATATGGTCTAACATGTAGACGTTTGTTCTGAAATGTACATTTGTTTAGTGCTTTAACTCTTAGGCCAGTGTTATGTAACTCTGTTTTGTCTTACACATTTCTGAATTGTTCCTTACTTGTTTCCTAGGTTTTCTTTTAGGTACCTGGTGGTTTTTTTGGAAATGTTTCGGTGCCGTTTCAGGGAAATATTAGAGGTCGTCTCTGAACAGTTTTCAATATGCAATCGGTGTATAGGAATATGGATACTAGTTTTCAACAGACCTTGTAAAAATGTAAAAGCAGCTCTTTGTTCTGATTTTAAAAAAAAAAGTGAAAGCATCAAAATATTCTCTGTAACTAAAAATAATTTACAGGAACTTCCAATTTCTTCATGCTTTGATGCTGTGGTGAGCACAAAAGCATTTTAGCTGAATATTGCTCTTTTTAGCTGTATAGGAAAATTATTGAATGAGCCTAATTGGGTTGAAATTTGATTATTTGTATGAATTCTGCTTAAAAACCAAGAACCAACAAACACAGAACGACCTTGTTTGTTAAAATGCGAATCCAGGTTTGTGTTCACATTTTAGCTTAGGGTTTTATGTAATCAAAAGCTCATCAAAGAACTGGGTACTGGAAATAACCATAGACAAAATGTGTTCATCTATGGTATTTATTAATACTTGTGATTTGTGCCTATAAAAGTAAAGTAAAAATAATAACAGATGGGCCAACTGGACTGAACCCTAGATGAGTTTAAGAAACTAAAAGCAGTCAAAGAGCTACAGAGACACGTCACATAGACAGAGCAGTGTTACAGCAAACACAAAGACACAAACGTTTTAAATTGAGGCAAAACCGACAAACAAACAAAGGCACACATTACCTCCATTTCTACATATGCGATACATAACACTAACCTGTTAGTTTCTCATTCATGAACCGCAGCAGTGACCCTTTCGAAAGTGAAGTCCAAAGGTTTTACCGCCACTTCCAGAGGACAGACTTAAGAGAGCAGCTTGTGCATGCAGGAATTACTCTTCCCAGGCATTTAATGCATGGGTGTGTAATGATAATGCCTGCATGTCACTGCCTCTTATCACAAAATAAATGACTGCGTGATTCCTATGGCATACTTTCTCCATAAACCTTGCTCCCTCTTTGCCGACCTCAGGTGCTTTATTCAAAATACTCAAGATATAAGAATGCTTCCCAGGCAAACAACCCCTCCCTACATCAGACGTTTTGCCACAACTCGGATTACTTAAAAATCTTGTAAGTCCTGTGTCAGTGCGTTGTTGCACCCTGGATCTGACCGGCCTCACAGAAGGCCGGTCAGATCCAAGATGACCTTGATCAAGATGATCAAGGTCATCTTGATCAAGGGAACGTCATTCAGCGCATTAGAGCCAGTCCATCGTCTGCAAGCGAATCAGTGAGGTTCCACTGGTCCTGCTGTCATTTTTTCTTCCTTCAGTCATCCGTCTACTGTACACAGACACTTAAATTTGCTGATTAAAGAAAAGGAAAAAAGAACACTCCCTGTAGCAACTGAAGACAAAGGAAAAATAAAAATCATAGTTTTTTGTTTTTTTTCCATTTAATTACTGCCTTAATGTAATGCATCAATGTAAGAAGATACTCAGTAGTATTTAACTTTAAGAAGTACTTGTCAGTTGCAGATTTAGCCATTTGTTCATATTGTAACAGTTTAGTGGGTAGTTTCATCGATATTTTCTTCCAGAATTGGCCCTTTGAGAACATTTGTGTGTGCGGAGAGAAATTTTTGAATATATATTTTTTCAACCCTTAATGTATTTAGATTTTGTCCAGCTGTAACACGTGTGCTAAACGTGTTGAGGTTTTGGGTATGTTTAAGCCTCCGAAAAAGGCCCACTTTAAAATTTGAAATGATAATAAAGCTGTGCATTTCAGCATGCTCACACACCACATTTACATCGGCAATCCCTGTCACTCGCTTCCCTTTATGCATTTTTAGTTCAAGAAGCTGCATAATTGAGGAAGAACTTAGCTCGGCGCGCCATAAATATCACAAATTGTGACATCATGGTTCTGCGTTTTTAAATACATTTCAACAGGATCGCTGACTTTGTGAGAATTTAGACAGTTACTTGGTACAAGTAGAAAAATTCTAACAAAAAATTTGCTAATTTTTTAAGGGGAAATTACTCCCAGTAGAAATCACCACCACCACAGGGGGGGAAAAAAAGCTACAGCTTTCTAACTTATGAACATGTCCAGAAAAGCGCTGACGAGTCTTAAGGACAACCCTGGAAAACCAAATTTAGGGACTCAATTGGTAAAATCCTCTTTTACGAGTTTTGCATGAATGAAACTCAGGGAAGTTTAGCATCTTGTTAAATCACACATTGCACAACAGAGTAAAGAATGATCAGTTTATGTAGATGTCTACTTCTACAAATGTGATGAGGCTATCTCTATTTTTTCACAAACAGCAAATATAGAAAAAAAACATTAAAAAAAAAGATACATACTTACATTCGCATCACATACAGGGAATTCTTTCATTCAACCACCTGTACCAAGAGCTCTTTTATGAACCAAATCACTAAAGGTTTTGAGGTTTAGTATAAAAACAATGCCATCTGTGGCTTATTAAACTGGAAAAGAGACTTTGATCTCTAGGTGCTCAGTCTGCAGTTCTTGGAAGTTGCAGCTAGGTGGCAGTCATGCTTAAATTCTGACAAGAGGGACTCTGATTCCTGTCTGCGAGGCGATGCCCTCAGGCAAGAAGATGCTAGCGTCTTCTTGCACACACTCCAATGATTTATAACTTTCACAGCGATCAGAGCCAGCTTGTGGAACATGTCACTGCAATGTAGCGATTTGCATTTGAATGGGTTCGCAATTCGAAATTGAGAAACTCATCTTTCATGAAACCATTTGCTCATCTTACCCATTCTTAAAAATATGTTCTGAAATTTTAGGCTGATTATATTATTGAGCTGAACAAAGCAACTAAAAAAGTGATATTAATCTACTGAGTCCAATCTAACTGTCTATATTATATTACAAGCGGGTAGACTATTAAATCTGAAAGCAATTGGCTATACTATCTTTT